AACTAGTTGGGGAATTCTGGGAGTTGAAGTCCACACATCTTAAAGTGGCTAAGGTTGAGAAACACCACCTTAGGGCACTGCAAATTAGAATCACTATTAATGTATTTTAAAAGTTTGTTAGAAGGATAAAGCAACATGATATAGGGGAAAATGCTTTGAATGCTAGGTAATACACTCAATGTAAACCAAGAAGACACAGGTATTTTTTCTTAATTTGTCATGCGAAGTAAATTAATAGAGCAGTTGACAAGGGCAGGATGAAGGTAAGTCGCTCTTTTCTAGTGGCAGTTTTGTTTTCTTTTAAAAGAGAGCACTTTCACTCTCCACTAGAGAGATCCCATGCATGTAAAGCAGCAGTTGCATAAACAATACACCCCAAACTTTCTTGCCTCTTTCTCATTGGAGGAGAATTTGAAATAGGTGAATGAAAGCGGATTAGCTCTCCCAGCAGACTTTGAACCAGCAAACAATAGAGGCAGGTTGAATTGAACAGAGGCGAGAATATTCTGGAATTCCTGGTGCTGGATTATACCAATCCTGGACTTCTTAACATGAAAGTACAGAGTGGTGGCTCAGCAGCATTTAAAAAATGCATATGGAAATAGGAATTTGTAGCAAGTGATGTAGGACTAATATCCTAGTGGAACTACACTAAAAAAAAAAAAAAAATAGTGCTGTGCTGTTTATTTCTTCTCCTTTTTAAAATTTTTACCATTGTTTTTCAAACTGATGGGTCAGGAATTGTTTGTTTTCCCAAATGTATATAAAACTTCAGTGACATTTTCATAAGCGGGGTCCAGAGGTTTTGCACTTACTTTAAGGATGAGGTAGCCCAAGAGTGCACACAAAGGGTCCCATCGTCCACTTTACAGTCTTCTCCCCGACTTCCTGCACTTTAATTAAATACTTATTTAAAAGAATGATAAAGCCTTCCCTCTCACCTTTTGGACTGTGGGTGGTCAACAACAACAATAAAAAATGCAGTACAAAAACCCTAATCCAACAAAACCAAAGAAATAACACAACTTCAAGGCAGTAAAGACACACCCCATACCACAGAATGGGCTCGTCTGCTGTCACGGCCCAGAGTGCTGGAGAAAAGCCAGTGGGTGGTTTTTGTGGTTCTGCAGAGGACCAACGGGGTCCAAGGGAATTAGAAGGACTTCATTTAGATTGGGAAGGAGGGCAGCCAGAGAGCCTGCAAAGGGATGAAGAGCTGTATAGCAGTAATATCAGCACCTTTATCCGTTTTTCACTATGACAGGAGATTCAGAAGCACCAGCAAAAGCACTCTGAGAGGGAATGAAGTCGGAAAACAGAAGATTTCTTGGAGAAGACAGCTTGCCAGAAAGTGGAAGATAAATTTTGACACAGCATTACCTTTTAAAGTTGCAGTGTAATAGCAAAGAAGACAGGAACCAAGAGAAAGAAAGATACTGTTTGTGCACTGAGCAGATGGTGCTTGCTTTTTCTTTTGGTTTATTTTCATCCAATTTTTCTCCTGCTTTGTTCAACATGACATTCATGGTCCCTGCACATCTTACGCTTACAACTGAACAAGGCAAATTAAATGGAGGAATTGGCTTGGATTGCACAACGGTGTAAATTATGCATTGTTTGTCAAATAAGCCACAGTTGCTGGCTTCATAGAATTCATTAAGCTGTAAGTTAAAATGTTCAAACCACAATGGATGGATTCATAGAACACGTTCAGCCAAACAAAACAATCCTCAGGATGACTTAGTGAGCTGAATGAATGCAATCCTCCATTGGCTCAAAGTCACCAATAAGCTGTATCCCTAAATAAAGATTTGAAGCTGTCTAATGAGACCCATTTCCTATCTAATATTGAGCCATTATATCAAATTGCTTGGTTTTCAGAATACTGATTTCTGTCTGCATGTTCCCTTGGTCTTCCAAGTATTTGATTGCTTTCTTGCACCTTCAAAACTCTCCACTGTTCTCCTTTCATAGTTCCATATATTCTACTTAATGCTTTTTTCCAGAACAGCTTCATGATGACACTTCTCCTATATCTTTCAAACTGTTACTTAAAATTTTGCACTGTGAAATTCAGATCAACCAGTTTTTCCCAGTATAAACAAATATTTATTTCTGAATGTATAATGTACTTCAGCCTTCAGCATCTGTTCTTCCTTTTAAAGTATTTTATAAGTGAAAATGTGTCCATGTATGTGTGAGAGGGGTGTGTGTGCATGTGAATAAGATGAGACTTCTTGGCCCCTCACTTAAAAATAAGCCCTATTGAGCAGAGGAACATTCTAGTAAAAAACATAGGATTGAAAGTGAATCTCTCCCCTACGTCCCCCCCCCCCCCAGCAAGTAATCCAAAGTTGCCTCTCCTGGTATTTTCAATACAAATGCAAAAAATGCATGTATAAAATAAAGCAGAAACCACAAAGCCCTAAGATAAATTCAGGTGAATTCCAGAATTTTCACATTTAATCAGATGTTCTAGAAGCCTTATGAAGAATTTTGAAATGTTAAACTGTATCACTTATATCCAAGGTCAATGTGATTCTGATAGTATTATTGGCTTATACATTCATGTCAAATAACTTCTAGGAATCTGTGTTAACATTGCTGCAACATACTCATTAACAGAAAGCAGAAGTAGAATTGTTGAAGTCACATAGCCTTTTATGTCTCATTTCTCCCATATGCTTTTTTTTGTTGAAGTCAGTGGCCCAGATAACTGGATGGCTAGTATAGTGTAGTGTATTGGTTAAGGTGTTGGACTAGCAGTGGGGAAATCTAGGCTCTAGTTCCCACTTAGGCATGATAGCCAGCTGGGTGATCCTGGGTCAGTTACTTCCTCTGAGCTCAAATAAGCATCAGACTGTGCAACAAGCTGGCTTGAAAAATTAAAAAAATATGTTAGTGCATCATGTACTGCTACCTTTGCTGTGTGAATTAAGCAAGCACAGTGCAAAACAAGTGAACTTTGCAATCATGTGGGACAGACCTTAAGAAAAGCAACAATAAGAGCCTCCCAATAAACAAGAGTAATTGGGGAAACCCAAAATAGAGAAATAATTACTGGGATTATAGTTTAACCCAGTGTTTCTCAACCTTGACAACTTTAAAATGTGTGGACTTCAAGTCCCAGAATTCCCCAGCCAGCATGGCTGGCTGGGGAATTCTGGGA